TCAATTGATGTGAGATCCTTTTTAAAAAAAATTAATTTCAAAAAACTAATATCCTAAAATTAGAAATTCACTTGATATAAAAGGTAAAACTATACTTAATAGCTTAAAATAATTCTTTGTTAATATATATCCTATTCCTCTCTCAATTGATGTGAGATCCTTTTTTTAAAATAATTAATTCGAGAACTAATATCTTTCTATTTTAGTAATAAAATTAAGAAATTCACTTGAAATAATTGGTAAAACTATACTTAATAGCTCAAAATAGTTCTTTGCTAATATATATTCTATTCCTCTCTCAATTGATGTGAGATCCTTTTTTAGAAAAATAATTTTATTAACCTTCTATTCAACGATGAAATAATTTACACAAATTTTAGAAGATTTTATTTTTCTCTTATATTATGTGCTTAACACTTTCACACAAATCAGAAATAAAAAAATAACTTTACATATTCACGGTAACTTCACAAGACTGATCGAAAGAAAATAACCTTTATAAGTAGGCAAATTATTTTTGACAGATCCTAAATTTTCTAAAAATTAATTTCTATTCAAAATGAATGATAGTAAGAAAATAACAAAATAAAAGGCAATTATAGTAAGTGAAGAGTCAAATAAATCCACTCATAATTGGTCTTAAAAAGACAGCGCGTGAATTACAAAGCCGCCGTAATATGAATATTGAAAAAGAAAAGTAGAAAGTAGGTACACGCGTGTTTATTCCGTCATCCACAAACCGATAAAAACAATACTATAATAAGTAGTAAAAAATAAAAAAGCAATCCGTCCAAAACATTATCCACAACTCAGCCCATCCAACAAATCCTATTCAGCATCTTACGTGTCATCCACCGTTAGATTCTTCCACGTGTCACCTTACCCCTTTATCGCAGCCGTTCCCACTTGCCGTAAAACGAACCTTACCGATTTTATGCCCCGTCACTCATTTTATCCAAAACTCCTCACGTGACTCCAGCTCACTCCACAAACAAGCGCGTGTAATCGACACGTGTTTTTTTTCTTTTCATAGAATAATATATATAGTGGGAGCTTCATTTTCATTTCATTTTATATATAAAATTATTATATTAAGGAAGTAGTAAAAACGAATATTGATTTCTCTTCTCCTCTTGTTCATATTCATATACAACAAGCTTTTAGATATTTTGGACCAACTCTTTGGGTTTTCAACTATGGTTCAATTGATGAGAACAACCATGGAAGAGTCGCCGGAGTTGCAGTGGCATAAAGGGAAGAACGCGGCGGTGAAGCTCGAATTTGAAGATGCTTTAGATGAAGCATACGGTCCACTCAACAAGCGATCTAAACTTTCCTCTTCTTCTCTACAAGTATGTTCTCTTCTTTTTTGCTGATTTGATTTTCTGGAGATTCTGTGTTTGGGCAGTCAATTACAAAAAGGATGATAAGATTAAGGATTTAAGTTAATTAATTAATACTTATCAATTATGGTAGATTATCAATTAATGCTTATTAAACAGGAGTTACTTTCCTGTTTAGTGACTTGATGGTGTTAATAACTCTTAAGATTTAGGATTTAAGAGTGTATAAATATAGAAAGTTGTAGCAGATCTATGAGGGAAGATTTTTCATATAAAAAGGAGTTTTGCTTATTGATGGATTATTTAGAGCTAGTTTTGAGTGATTTCTATGAAGTTTATTGTATGATTAGCTTAATTGAATTGGGGATCTTTTTTCCTACTGCAGCAATTGGTTGTAGGAGCTGATGGTTTTCCAGTAGCGCCTTCGCAGTATAACCCGCTTGATGAGCCCAGTCCGTTGGGTTTGAGGCTAAGGAAGAGCCCATCACTGTTGGATTTGATCCAGATGAAGCTTTCTCAGGGGAACAACGCCAAGGTGGGAAATCAAGGGAAGGAGCAGAAGGGGAACTCTGGAACAATTGAAAAACTCAAGGCTTCGAACTTTCCTGCCACAGTTCTGAGAATTGGGAGCTGGGAGGTAATATTGATGTTTTAGTTTGGCTGGTTTGCGAGCTATTGCATAGGACAGGGGTTTTACCCTGTGCGCACCCTTTGGGTAGCGGCTGCGGTTTCCCTCGTCATAAAAAAAAAAAAAAGTGTAATTTGTGATCTTAGTGTGTAAATTGAAGTTTGGAAGTGCTAGAACTGATTTGGAATTGTGTTGTTGTCTGCAGTACAAGTCAAGATATGAAGGGGATCTAGTGGCAAAATGTTACTTTGCGAAGCATAAACTTGTTTGGGAAGTCCTTGACGGTGGTCTCAAGAATAAGATCGAAATCCAGTGGTCAGATATTATGGGTTTGAAGGCAAATTACCCTGATGATGGACCTGGAACTTTAGATGTAGTGGTAAGTGGTGATGGACCATCTCTTTTGTTGTTATCATTGTGAAACTGTTTCCTGCTACTGAATTGGCGAAAGTACTAAAGGATTCTTGTATTGCAGCTTTCAAGACAACCTCTTTTCTTCAGGGAGACGAATCCACAACCTAGGAAGCACACTCTTTGGCAAGCAACATCTGATTTTACTGGAGGACAAGCTAGCATGCAAAAGTATGTTTCTTGTCTTATTTTTACTTGTTCGTAATTGGTCTTTGCTCTGTTTATGGGGATGCCAATTCCCTAAGTACTCATCTGTTGCCATTTTTTAATAGCCGTGGTGTACGGCCTTCTTGCTACCTCCCAGGCCCCCATCAAGTGCTCATCTGCTGCCTAAAATATAATTATGGTGTCCGGGTTGCTTGATACTTCCCACCAACTCTGTCCCCAAGACTTGGACAAATAGGAAGAAATTACCTAGTGTTTTTGCCTCAACTTGGATTTAAATCTGATTCCTCGTGATTTCCAACCCTCTTCATACACTAGACCACACCCTTGCCTACCTAATCTTTTGCTTATTCTACCCGTTTGTTAGAAGTGTCAAGATTGAAAAAAGGTAATATATTTTCTCCAATATTTGATGTTGGCTAAAGTGAATTCAATGAGACTGAAAGGTAATATATTTTCTCAAATATTTGATGGTTTAGGGTCCCCTTTCTGTAAAAACAAAATAATAAATTGGTCTTGGAATCCGAATCCGCCCGCCCTCCTTGAGGTCGGGATAAACCTCAGCTGCAGCCCCTTCACCCCCAATTTTCGAGGCAGCAGTAGTCCAGATTGGCTTTATGTCATTTACTTTTAAGTAGTTGTGTGAACTTGACATAATGGTACTGCTGTTTTTATGCATGCTTAATAAGGTGTTAGACCTATTTATGCTCGCAGGTCTTGCTTTTCCTTGATTATTATGTCGATATGGTTCAGTTTGATGTTAAAACTCTCCTCCCTTTTTAATTGTTTTTTGTTTGTTTGTAGGCGACATTACTTACAGATTCCACAAGGCTTGTTAGGAAAGCATTTTGAAAAGCTTATTCAGTGTGATCCCCGTCTTAATTTCCTAAGTCAACAACCAGAGATTACACTAGATTCTCCACATTTTGAATCCAGAATTTCAGTATTTGAAGACCCAAATGTGTCTGAGTCGGAATTTAATCTGAATAATGAGAGAAGTCCCCCCTTTCTCAACTTGCATGGTGCCGCTTCACCTTCAGGAGCTCATTGTTCTTCTTCAAACGGAGAGCAAGACTTTTTTGTTAGTAGACGATTGGAAAACATTCGTCCAGAAACACCTTCACCAAGCTCAGGTAATTATATATTAATGCTGGTCTGCTTAGGACTCTTGAGTTTTTTGAGAAGTTCGATTCTTCTGCTTGGTGCATCTTATTCATTTCTTCTTTATTTTTTTCTTAATTTTATGTTGCATGCTGGAAAGAGCATTGTGGTGGTTATAGACATTACATTCCTTTTCTGCTGCCTACAGTTTTCATTGGTTTCTTGATATTAGAATTTAAGCATAGTCGACAGATCCAAATTACTACAGTTGAGGCCTTACTGGGCATAACATAATCATCATATGGTCCAACTGATCCCGAATCAGTTTAATTATTTTTCCAAATATTTATGTCATTATTAAGGCTTAGTATTTGTGAATTGTCTTATAATCTGCTGTACTGTCATTTAACCTGCAGTGATGGATACAAGGGAAATTCAAGATGTCAGTAGAGATATGGAGCAATTGAAAGGCCTCGGCAACCTAGATCAGATCCGAGTGCCTGGTCTTCATCCTTCCATGTCAATGAAAGATTTAGTGAGCCACTTTGAACAACGTTTTTCTGAGCAGGGAACGTCCGAAGTTATATGCCTGTCCAGTGATGAACGCCAAAGCTTGGAGATTCTGGAAGAGATCTCGAGGTGCTTGTTTAGTGATACTCAAAATATGCCAGCATCAGATGAGAAATCCCTCATGACAAGGGTCAATTCTCTGTGCTGTCTTCTTCAGAAGGATCCCGCAACAGCTCATAAGAGTGAGAATTATGATGATGTTGCAGTTGGAGGTAAGAGAACTGATGAACTGATCAGTTTCTTTCCCGGAGATCCTTCTACATCAGAGGATAAATCAAATGATCCAGCTCCATCAATGTCAAGAAAAGACTCGATAGGGGATCTGCTGCTGAATCTGCCTAGAATCGCATCGTTGCCTCACTTTCTCTTCAATATCTATGAAGATTCCGACCACCCAGCTAGATAGAATCTGCTTAGTTTATCATCATCCAGAAAAGGATAGCCTAGTTGCTTTTGTATATAGCAGGCATAGCGCCCTCTAAGACACTGCTTAGCTACAGTGTCCAGATGTTGTGCAGGTAGTATATGTATATAGTCATCTTTTATGTTAGTTCGTGCAATAGACAGTATTCTTCAAGCGCTCCGAATAGTTTTTTAATGACATTTACTTCATTTTTTGTAAAAATTTTACCAAAAGATACCTCTTTAACTGGTATCTAACAACTTATCCTTTCAAATGTTGATCGCAAGATTTCGAATCTACTTTGCGATTTCAAATGTTCTTGCCAAGCTTAATGGCCTAATGCTGGTAACATTGTTAAGAGGCCAAATGCAAGAAGGTGTGAGGAATAGTAGATCAAATAAAAAGGAACATCTTACACACGGAGTAGAGTTTTTAAACAGTAAATAATATTCAGATATATATTTTACATCTTGAAAGCACAACAACAACCTTCTTCTATATCTGTCCTATTATTGTCTAACGAAATCTACAAAAGAATAAAGAAGATGACTGTTTAAGAATCATCTGTACCGTCATCATCAATGTCATCGTTATCCTGATACATGTCCATAAGCACATTTATCTGGCTTTGCAACATAGCATTTTGCCTCTCTACATCGGCACGCTTGCTTCTTTCTTCTAGCAGCTGTATTTGCAGATGTTCCAGGCAATGAGCATCTGCTTCCAACTGTTCGTTCAGACCATCGATTTCACGATCCTGCAGCATTGTCATATGATTAGTGTTTCTGTTGAATTTGAACTGAGCAAGACGAGAACTTGAAGACATTTAAAGAGGTTAGCCAAAACAGAACATGTAGATTAGAAGAAAGCAAACAAATGGTAATTTTGAGGACATCACCTTTCTGTTCATTTCCTGTAGAGCGATTCTTCGCATACTTTCAACAACATCCACATTTACAAGCTTCCGTCTCTTTCCAGCCAGCCAACCTTTGGGGTAACATGCAGCATCAAAGTCTGGTGGGGGTAGCAAAGTTTCAGCTGACGGCCTACGGCCATTTGCATTTGTAACCGGTTCCAATGGTTCAAAAAGTGCCTTTCTACGCTCTGAGAGTTCAGTAGAGGGCTGGGATTCCTGCATCTTTTCATCAGCTGGAGACTCTTCTTGCTTTTGAGGTGTTTCATCAGCTGGAGACTCTTCTTGCTTTTGAGGTGTTTCATCAGCTGGAGACTCTTCTTGCTTTTGAGGTGTTTCATCAGCTGGAGACTCTTCTTGCTTTTGAGGTGTTTCATCAGCTGGAGACTCTTCTTGCTTTTGAGGTGTTTCATCAGCTGGAGACTCTTCTTGCTTTTGAGGTGTTTCATCAGCTGGAGACTCTTCTTGCTTTTGAGGTGTTTCCAAGTTCTTCACACCGGCTACTAGGCGAAGTATTTTCTTAGCATGATAAATGTATAATATACAAAATATGAATTGTGTGAACTGTGTATTGATTGGGCTTATAGTCATCACTCCATTATCTTTACGGAACATGACATTAAACAGGACTATAATTTCAGAAGTATGTTCTCCAAACAAAATACCAGCACAACTATATTATGTTCAGAAATTGTCTGACTGTTTCAACAACAACAACATACCCAATGTAATCCCACAAGTGGGGTTTGGGGAGGATAGAGTTTACGCAAACCTTACCCCTACCTTGGGAGGTAGAGAGACTGTTTTCCGATAGACCTTCGACTCAAGGAAAATTGTTGACTGGTTCAAGTTCAAATAGCATGAGCCAGTCTTCTGTACTTAAATAATATACTATTCAGTATGCCAATCAGAGACACTGGTATTATAGCATTTTAATAGGTTCCTTTCCCTTTTCCATTGCTTCTCTTTCCAGTGATTTTTAGAGAATTTGAAAAAAGTGATACAAAGATTTGACAAAGGTCCAAATTTAGAAACTTCCCATATACAAAACTCAAGAGCTCACTAACTACTAATCTTCTCCTGTTGATCAGGGAAGAAACAAGTCTGCCATTTGATGTATCATTCACAAAAAACACTATCAAGCATAGGCGGATCCAGGATTTAACCTTTTCAGGTTCGAGTTTGAGATTCTACCCCAACACATTTGGTTTGACCTCTGTAATTATGGAATGATTATACCGTCTTTATATAGTCTTTAATTATATATTATATGTAACCTTACTTAAAAAAGGATCTTTTTTCTTTTCAATAAGATAATTCAAAGCTAATGTCTTTCTAAAGCTCCACAAGTCATCTATCATCTTTTAATCCGCCTCGAAGAATTTCCAAATAAATTAAGGAGTCCACTAAGGGAAAAAGAACATGTACATTAAAAAAATACAAAGTCAACAATGCAGGGCCAAATCACTATTTCTAGACAAGATCCGTGTGGAATAGATTAGTCTTACAAAAATAAAATATTGGAACGGTAATCGGCTGTAGCTTATACTTATACAGGCAAATTCCTAAACAAATAAGTGAAATTATGCAGAAGAAACATGTAATGTAATGAATTAATCAAACACACTCATCATGACAAAGACAACCAAAATCACTAAAAATCAATACTTTATTAATGGTTAATACTAATAACTAATATTTACAAAAAAAAATTGTTTTTATTCAAAGATCAAACTTCTTTATCAGCTAGAAATGACGTGTCGACAAAGTCGCCACCGAATCTAGCTAACATTGGACAAAACTACCCTCTACCCTCAACCTAACCTCTTTTCCAAAAAATAAGGAAATCGTCCACCGAGTAAACAGAAAATTCAGATAAATATTATTTATCCCAGAAAACAGTAGAACCATTTTCATGGCAGGAGCGGAGCTAGAGTATAGCTTACGGGTTCACAAATTAAATCAATGGAATATGTACAAATTATTAATTCAGAACTCAATAACTTAAAAGGACTACAACCCCAAACTCATAAACTTCAAATCCTAGCTCCGCCTTGTGTTTTCTAGTCATTTCCAGAAGTAGATCTAGTTGTACCACATGCAAACCCACAAATAATCAACCCCATTTTTCAATAAATCACTGTAGATACATGCAATCAACAAGTTCACTAGTACTAAATTGAATCATAATAAGAAGAAATATTACCAGATCTTTTTCTAGACTTCCATAAAACAGGAGTTGAAGAAACAGGTGAAAATCCCTCAAGAATTCCTTCCATCTTCTGCTGCTGCCTTACCTCCATAAATAACTTACAAATTTCAAAAACACACACACATAAATAAAGCAAAAAAAAATCTTGTATCAAAACTTTCTATAAGCTACAAAGAGAGAGAGAATTGATAGCGTAAGAGTTGAAGTAAGTTGTAGGTGTAAGCAAGGCCAAGAAACGTTTATTACCCAACTCTCTCCTTCAGCCCCTTTTTTGTTTTTTGTTTGACAAGTAAACAAGATATTGTTGGGAAAAAAAAGCATAGAGGGTCACGAATTAATCAACCATTATTTTTAACGGACATGATTTTGTTGTCTTTTAGTTTTTCACGGTGATGTTGATGTTTGGTTTCTTGTTTTGTGTTCCTATCTATCTCCGGACCCCCACACACCTTATTTTATTATTCTATTATTATTTCGACATGGGACAAAATGGTACCTGGGTTTTTGTGATTTCTCACAAACACACCCGTCCTCCACGGAGAACAACAATATAAACTATTCATATTTTTATGATGGAGCGATAAATATTTTTTGTATTCGAGTTTTTCGATTTGGACTTCTAGAAATAAGTAGTTTTGAGTAGCAATATCAAAAAGACTCTAAAGATGCTTATGAGTTACTCCCTCCGTAGTCCGTCCCATATTATATGTCACATTTTCTATTTGCACTTGCATTAAGAAATGAGGTAATTTTATCCTTATGCCCTTATTTAATGTTTGTTTAAGACAACTTTGTAATAAATGATGAATATGTTAGATTTCAAATATATAAATCCATTTGAATGACTATTTAAATTTTAGAGTTTATTTTTTAAGCCAATTTTTTTTCACCAATTGATCCAAAAAAAATTAAAAATCAAGTTTTTCCCACCTCAATTTTCCTATATATTTTGTGTAAAATGTTTTTTATATTTTATATATAAATTCTTAAAGCAAACATGACAACATCACAAAATATTCAAATTTCATTACTTCAAATTGATCTAAATTTCCTGTTGAATCTGATGTTATTGATAATGAAATTCAACGACAAAATGAATTTTAGTTCTAGTTCAACAAATTATTTGTTTTTTATTTAAACACTGAGGCGCATATTGAAGAAGATTCGGATACAAATATTGATTTGTTGTTTTGTTTAAAAATTTTGGTTCGTATTTTAATTGTTTTATTTATATATTTTTTCAAAATCAAATTTTATAGAATAAGTAGTGAATAAAGAAAGTAGTTACTTAATGAATGAAGTACTCTCCCAATGAAATTAATTACTTGTAGATTTCCTAGGTTAGTCAAAGTAAATACATTTTCAAGATTAATTAATTAATCTATCAATGATATAATGGGCAAAATATGGTAATTTATGCATAAATTTTATAAAATGACATATATTGTTGTTCAACTATTTTTAGAAAGGGATATGGGACGGAGCGAGTATATTTAAAAGACAAAAATAAACCTACTCTTATTAATAATGATGATGATAAGTTATGGCTAAAAACACTCTGCTAGTAGTCTCTCCATGCTTCTTAGGCCCAAGATGATGGATGATACATTGGTCTTGGGCCTTCATGTTCTCTTTTGCTTATTTTGGATTGTGTATATAAGAATTTGGACTCCCTAAGTTGAAACAATGGTAATGTAACACACATTTCAACGGGTCCGGGTCGGTCCAGACCACATTATCTATGACTTCCAATACAACATGTAATTTAGAAGGTAAGTCTCGGAGTAATGATAAAAGTTATACAATCACATACTATAGTATTGTAAAATCAATCATTTTGATCCTTTTCCGAACCTAGGTTAACTGAGGAAATCAAAACCATACAAAGAACTGAGGAAAGAACAAAATATGATTTCTACTTTTGTAACAGACTGAAAAGGTGCAAGAATCATCACCTTAACTGACGATCTTAATTAACCAAAGGAAAAGAAAGAAGCGATAAAGAGACATGCCATACACAATATTCAAAAAAAATAATCTCATGCACGGGGGATCAAATACCTCCTATTATAGAATCAGTCATACATCAGCTCTTAGTTGTAAGTTCCAGTTTAATATCTCTCTCATTCACAGGGGTTTAAATGCTGAGTTTCTATGTAACTTTACATAATCTCTACCCATGGGGGGGAATCCTATTGTCACCCCACCTTCTATCTGTACAGTTCCACGAACTATACCCTAATCCTTTACAAAAAAATGTTTGGGAGCCCCTTTCATTCTCCTTCACAAAATTTAACCCCTCTCCCTTCCAAAACAATTGAAGTCACATTATGTTTCACCTATAACGCAAGGTATGCAAGGAGGATTTGTTGCTTGATCTTGTGGTGTGATTTTCTGCAGGCACTCGTCATGAAATACATGCCCACAGGGAAGAACAGCAACGGGTGGCGCTATAGTAGGACGAGTAAAAGGGCCTTCAGGATTGAACATCACATTCCTCTTGCATATTTTGCAGTTCTCTGCAACGAGTTGAGCTGGTTCCTCCAATCTTGCTGAAAAATTCCAACACTACATTATTACAATGCTGTTTCAATGGTAATATTTAGCAGTAAAATGAGTTCATTATCAATATCTTCACATAGAAATACGAACAAAATATAGATTTATTCACACTCTTATGACTTGATGTGATGCCTTTCTGAGATATCGATATTATGCTGAAGTTCTTAGATTCCTCCAGTTGTAGGTTGTAGGGAGCTCTAGTTCCAGCTTTGATTTTTTAGTGTATGTGTGCATATATATTCACATAAAGTACCAAGAAAACTTTGCACTTGTTATGATGTAATGACTTCTCAACTCAACTACTAAAATATATATCATACGACACATTTGTTAATGTAACTCAGTACTTGTTCCCATCCATATTCCAAATCCTATAATTTAGATGACAAATTCAACATATAAATACATGTTGTACTGTAAACCTGCACCTGGCTGTCCATGTAACTTAGGTCCTAGGCCACATGAGGAGAATGGGGTAAAAAATATTGGGTGCAAGTATTAAAACATCCACAAATTTCACATAACCCATTTTCAAATGTTGAAATTTCTAATTTTGGGTTCCCTCTCTTCTCTCTTAGTTCATCCTCTTCTTCCTTCTTTTCTCCTTCCTTTATCTTCTCAGCAATTTCTTCATTATTATGCAGTCCGTCCCAAACAACCAGGAATTATTTTAAATAGCTTGAGAACAATTTCAGGTCGTTTAGTTAAAAAATCAGGAAGTTGTTTAGATATCCTGAGAATTGTTTAAAAGAAGGGGAAATATTTAAACATCCATTAGTTATTTGGAGGTGGAGGATGGGGCAGAGGGGAGCAGGAGGGGATAGAGTAGGGTGATTTGTGAAAATAAGAAAATAGTGGGGTTTTAAAATAATGTCATTAACTCTAATTAAAAGAAAAAAAGAGACATCCTTAACATTTCTCAACACTTGAGGTCTTTGACACTTAATAAAGGACACAAACTCTCTTATAAATTGTTGGCTCTAGTCACGTCTATGGTGTCAAAACTTGTAATTTGTTGAGATACATATGCCACAAGAATAGATACACAACAGTGACATAAATAACACAGCTACATGAGTGATCAAGTCAGAGTAGGGAGGCAAAACACTGGCATTCACCGATCAACTCATGGAAATGTCAACAAACAATCAAGTTGTACATATATCCGTGGTAAAGAAAGCACCAGAACAGTATCTTGTAGATCACAGACTAACAAACTACATTACAAAAATACAGAAAATATAAGAATGTGAGATAGCTTGAGATACCTTGCAACTTTGCACAGAGAGCAGGAAGAGAAGGAGAAGATGCAGGAACTGGAGCAATAGTGATCGGCCTCGGAGGTGCTATCAGCAGTTGATTACTATGTTGAGTCAATTTTCTCCTCCGCTGAGACGTCGGAGCAGTTGGAGGGGCTTTACTTGGTCTTCTTCTTTTGAGGGAAGTGGGACCATCAAGATTTGAAGCCTGAGGGGCCACATCAACCTTTGATATTGGAACGCCTTGACCTTGGTGTAGCAAATGCAATGAGAGCACAAATCAGGAATCAGCACATTTTGGTTCTAAAATGTGCACGTCACCAAAGATGCAAAAGATAGATATTGTCATTGAATTAGCAACACTAGAGAGTTCCTTAGATTGGGTTTTGTGGCATACCAGCATGATATGGGAGTCCACTAACATTAAACTCTGCTGATGAACCAACTTGAGGCAGACCTAGATAACATAAGAACACTCTCTTCAGATGTTACGTAGAGGTCAGATTACTTTAAATACATAGAAAAGCAAATTGGAGCATTATCAGATATATGAATAAAATTAGTAGATACCCATTGCAAAAGAGGGGTTAAGAAGTCCAGTGGGGTGCATTTTAGGTCCATGATTTTGAGACTGATACGAGTTACCTACAAATGAAAGCCAAAAAAGAAACAGATAATGATAAAAGCACCACATAAAAAGTATAATGTGAACTCAAGCTCCGTAATGTGCTAATTTCTGAGTTAAATGAATTCGTTTAAGAGTACGCATCCAGTATGGGGTAGTGGAAGTATCTGGAACGGGTGCATCTTTTTTAGTGTATTCTGACGAATCCACACGCAATACCTACACCCATTCTAATGTCATCTTCCACTTCTTACACTTCACTTTACAGTGCCTAACTAAATATTTCATGGAAGCTTAATATATTTCTCACTTCTTTTTTCCTTTTTTAAAGGTAAACTATTTTTCTGGCTTCATTTTTCATCCTATGAACTCATTTTTAAGTTCCAACATGACTTACCCACTCTAGTTTGCTGGATGCCACCCGTGCCAGGAAGAACACCCTCTCGAGTTGCTTGAGAAATAGCCCCGTCATTAAGCTGGACACCTAGCCTCTTGGGAAATTGATTGACAAGGGCAGGTTGGATGCCACTCCATCCCTGAATTTGAGCTCCCATTCCTTCAGGATATAGGTTATTCCCCCAAGGATTCAGAACATTGACAAAAGATTGCTGACCTGAAGAAATTTGATTGTAGCAGAGTTAGGACCGCAGTAAGTCAACAACCAGCAGCTGAAGTAGACTGAGAGGCAATTTATAGAATCCATGAAGACAAGGGTAAAAGTATATAAGAGAAACTCAAAATAGCAGTGCATGTAGCCGTGAAATGAAAAAGGAGGATTCCTAATCAAACTCACA